TGTTATATTTACCCATAAATTATATATTTAAAAACCCAAAAATAGTTTGGATAAATATAAAAATTTTATAATATTAAAAATTTCTTATATTTACTTTTATTTACTATCTATAATCATGTCCTCAGGGGCATCTTGTATAAATTTGGCTTTGATTTCAATATCCATTTATTACTCCATAATTATCTGAACAAAGATGTAAATTGATGTAAAATTCGTGATCTTTGGTTTTTGGTCAACAATCCAAATTTTTATTCGTGATACTAATTAAGAACTAAAGCAATAAACGTATTACGACATCGACTAAATTATTATTATTTTTTAAATGTTTTTTCTTTGGGGTAACAAAAGTAGTTTGCTTTTTTAGTTCAATGATTTCTAAAATCTGAGACAATTTAGTTTTTCACAATACATACAAAATGTCAATTTTTTATTTTTGGGCGAAGACTCAAATTATGGAACAAGGACTTAACCACCACTTTCTAAAATTCATCGTTCAACTTATCTTTCGCATGTGTTTGTTATGTTTAGAGTCTACTGTTACTCGTCCAACCACAATACTATTGTATGTCGAGTGGAGTTTCATTATCATATATTTATATATTTTCGTAAAACTAAATTATAGGAATGTTGAAGCACAAAATAATAAAGTATCTAGATACTGTACTAAAGTTAGGCTTCAAAATACTAGAAAACTAAGTTTCAAAAAAAAAAAAAAAGATACTAGAAAACTAGAAATATTTTGGAATAATATCAAATTTCTTCAAACTACGAAAAATGAAATTAGTAGCTAACCTTAGAAGCAAAGCTAGAACGTGCTTGGGTGATTTATTGTACAAGTTACCTACTTTTACCTTATATGGACCGCACGTTTCCAAAAGGTTTTTTTCTTTAATAATTAAACTTTTTAAAAAATTTCAAAAAATTGTCATTTTTCAAATATCACTTTACAAAAATGCCACATTTTTATAATTTTTACAAAAATACCATTTTTTTAAAATTATTTTTTTTTTTATATTATTTATGTTTGGGTTAATTATGTTCTATTAGGGTTTAGTTTTGAGTGTTTAGAGGATTTTAGGTATCAAAACATTTTTAGAGTTTAGAATTTTAAGATATAGGCTTTCTAAATCTATAATTAGCATTTTTGTAAATGGACACTCCTAAATGATATTCTTGCAAATACACTAAACAATGACATTTTTGTAATTGCCCCAGCTTTTTTCCATTTTCGATTACAA